ACCATAAGGAGCCGTAATTAAACAAAATGTTCTGCCCTACAGACATGGGTGGATTGAATTTATCTCCCCACCATCACGTTTGCTGGTCAGTAACGCCTTAATCCCTCCTTTTGTGATGTTAGGCTCTCTTACGTTTGTGGTGAGTATGAATACTGCTTTAATCAAAGCCCATAGTTGGAATACACTGTCTCTACTAGGTCCATGTTACAAGCAAAACAGATAGTTGAAAAGTCTTTTTTTGGGTTAGATGTCCATATAGTATATCACACTGCTATAAAGATAACTAATGGTTTAAAGAAGTAAGGACTCATAGCAAATCAAAAGACATGAGAAGGTATAAAATTGTAGAAAGAAAAAAGAAAAAAAGATTTCAGGGTAAGATATATAAAACATTGAGAAACTCACAAGACTTTGTGGCCAGATTTTGAGCACTGTATGATCGGCCTTAGAAGATCAGCATCCATAAGATTGAGCTATCTGTCTACTTGCGGTAGAAAAAAAGGCATGACTCTTAGGAAGAATAATGTACATTTAACCTGTAGAGAGATTTGGGTTAGGAGCATGAGGCCATGATTAATAAACAATGAATAATAGGGAAGGATAAGCCATATATTCTGTGATTTGGTCTTATTTGTATTAGTAACATTCGAATTTGTTATAATCTTGTTCTTTCTAGATACTAGGCGGTCCGTAATAAAGTGCCTCATTGGTGGGCGGGAGTTCAAGGAAATGTTGAAGCTCTTTAGAGTCTAGAAATACGGTTATTAGCTTTTTGAATCTGGTAAACGTATCACAGTTACGGATAGGCATTGGCAGCCTGTTCCACAATAAACTATACCTTACTGTAAAAAACTTACAACGCATTTGTTTTTGGTGTTTTACGGTAAGTAGTGTATATGCGTTGTTTCTAAGCCTATAGGCTGGGTAGTGGGTCATAGTCGGGCAGGAGGTTAAAAAGGAGAGCCCATATATCGCTTTGTAGAGAAATATTAAATTGTGTTTTAGCCTACGGTGCCATAAAGGTTCTAAAGATAGATGCTTACATCTGTCTGTGTAATCGAGATTCGAGTTACATCCTAGTAGTTGACGTGTGAAACGTATTTGAACATCTTCTACTCTTATCTTGTCTGTGATATTCATATTAGAGAAGACAAAAGAGCAGTATTCAAGGGAGGGTCGTACACATATTTTGTTGAGAGTATGTTTACCCTCTGTTATGAAAAAGATTTTTCATTATAAAACCAATTAGCCGTCTAGATTTAGAAATAATAGGGGTGGCATGTTCTTCAAAGTTCAGGCTTCCTGTGTAATTAATTCCTAAATAGTGTACTGATTCGAGTGTTTGGACTCTACATTCATTCAAGTGAAGTCGCGGTTTGTAGGGATGCTTTCCAAAGTGCATGATCCCGAATTTGTTGAGGTTAAATGGTAATTGCCATTTTTCACTCCATATAGTTAAGTTATTGAGGTCCTTTTGGATCTGGGATACACTTTCGCTTAGTGTCTCAGGCTTATAGCTGTATACTATTTTGAGATCATCAGCATATAAGTATGGTTTCCCAAACTCTATGGTGTCACATATATCGTCTATATACATAAGAAACAAAAGTGGACCTAATACGCTTCCCTGGATGTCTCCACTGGTGATTGGTCTAGGGGCCGAGAGGCAGTCATTGTACTTTACCATCTGTTTACGTTCTGTTAATAACGAAGCAAACCATGAGTACAGTGGGTTGTGTATTTCGAAGAACTTTAGTTTGACGAGTAGCCCTTTGTGTGGGACCTTATCAAAGGCTTTCTTAAAGTCTAGGAATAGGACTGATACAAGGAGTCCGCTGTCTCGTTTCAGAGTTATATCATTCAGGTAGTCTACTAGGCATGTATCGCATGATCTGGACCTAAGAAATCCATGCTGGGAGGTCGACAAGAGATTGTTAGTTAATAGATTTTGGACTACAGCCGCCTTAACTACTTTTTCCATCACTCTGGATACCACTGAAGTTATGTTTATGGGCCGGCAACTGTCAACATTTGCTTCAGGTCCTGTTTTAATTTTGGGGATGATATGTGTAGTTTTCCAGGCAGTAGGGTGACACGCTGAAGAGAGTGATATCGCGAATAGTTTTAGAAGCAGAACACATATGTCATCACCTCCACGTTTTAGCATGCTAGATGGAATACCATCTGGTCCATCAGTGTAGGAGTGTTTCAATGTACTGATTGCTTTGGAGATATTTTGTACACTGAATTCTACATTAGTAATTTCACAGGGAGTTACTAGGATTGGTTCTGAATCATTAAATGGTTTTTCGTTAGTTAGTGAGAAACAAAAATGTTCACTAAATGATTCTGTGACAAGTTTGGGATCTTCGTATACTTGTTTGCCTTTAATGAATATACTCTCTATCGATTTAGAGCGTTTAAGTTTATTTTGGAGTAGTATGGTGAGTGCAGAGGAGTTATTATTAAGTTCAACTGCACGTTTTTCCTGTGTGATTGCTTTTTGTTTACTTATTGTCCCTGTTCGGACAAGCATTTCTGTCATTGTTACTAAAGAGGAAAAGTCATTTAAGTTGTGGAATCGAGTGCAATGCCTTTGAAGACGTCTTCTTGTACTGACCGGTATATAGAGATCTTTGGAGAACGTAGGTTTACAGTATTCTAAAGGTGCGATGTTGTTGATGATACTTTTGATGTTGTGATAAAATATATTGGTTAATGTGTCGGTATTGTTTGAGGTAAAGAAAGATCCCCAATCAGTGCTACTTAGGTAATTGTGGAAGTTATTCCAATCAACCTTGCGATAGTTTCTACGAAGTGTTACGGTTTTACTTCTATCGGTTGTGGTCTTTACATTAAGGCTGCATATGACAATATTATGATCACTACCTGGGAACATTTTTCCAATATACAAAGTGTTGGGGATGAGGTCACTGGTAAAGACGAAGTCTAAGATGTTTTGATGTCTGGTAGGGCTATCGACATACTGAGTCCATTGTCCAAGCTCTAAACATTCAATAAATGATTCATAACGTCTCGGCGCTTTGACTGGCAGCCAAGAAATTTCGGGCATATTGAAGTCACCACAAATAAGCTTGCCTGTGAATGAGAGGGATGATGCTAGTGTGAATACCTCCGATAATACTGCTATTTCATCTATTGATGCGTTAGGTTGACGGTCAATACAGCCAAACAGTAACGTAACGGAATTCGACGGCTTTAATACAATCCACATCGAACCCTTCAGTTTGTTTAGTTCAGGCTTATCACATAGCAGTGAGTTTAGGCTAGAGTGAGCGTAAATAAGGCATCCTCCGCCTCGTCCATTCAATCTATCGCTTCTATATAGGAAGTAGTTATCAAGAGACATACTTCGGTCGGAAATATTACTGTTAGTCCATGCTTCAGATGTCATAATAAGTGATGGTTGATATATGGATACAAACAGGGCTAAATCCGTCTTTTTGTTGCAGATCGATCGAGCGTTGGTAAGAAATTGTACTACGAATCCTGTGTAGATACTAACCAGCCGAGATCAGACACCTTCCAAAATATCTTAAAGCTTTCAAATGTATCTTTGAACTCATTCACACTTAACTACTACTTTAATTTACTTTGTATTATTTTACTTGAATCTTTCCATTGACGTTTTTGGGACTGAAATTGATCAGTCTTTTACTAGCATATGTGCATACTGTGCGTGTGCCTCGATACTGCCTTAATTTACAAGCATTATAAGCAAAGATGGATAGTGGCTAGCAGTAAAACAATACCAAGTGAATTAAACTTCACCCCATGGCACAAGCAAGTGGCTGTCAGGACTCAGTAGCTAAGTGGATAACGCGGTGGCGTTTGAAGCGAACGTTACTGAGTTCGAGTCCCAGAGTGAACATCAACTCTGAGATGCAGGCATATCCAGCTGACGAGTCCCAAACAGGACGAAACGCGCGTCCTGGATTCCACTGCCAGCCACTATCCGTCTTTGCTTTTAACTCCTACTCTGATCGGATTAGGGTGTCTTGGTTACAAATGAGATATGGATGGTAACGCTATCAATCCCTGAATATCCATGGCATTCTTCGTCCTGTTAGAAGTGTATATCCGGAACCTAATTATCATCCGGTCCTGACGCATTAGAACAAACCTCACTGGTTTTAGCTCTTGCAATTTTCTGGCTAGTCCTTTATGATATTTTCTAGGATGATATTAAATATTATTTGAAACCGTGCTTGTTTTTCGGGTTTACAGATTTCCCCAAGATTGATATAATATGTGGTAACTGGTAGTTACAAAGGGTATTTCAGTTGTAATTACCTTTTCCTTCACTCACGATGTCGATGTTAGCTAGTGACTTACACAATTACTCTGCGTTCATAGAAAAGATATTGAAGGTTGTAGAATTAATGAGTCTATTTAAGTCCACCAACTCTGAGTATATGCCAAACCTGATGACAGATTCAAAACTAGTACTCAGTGGTTGGGAACTATCACAGAATTTGCGATATCGAAAATATCAAAACACGAGCGTAACTTATATATTGAGTTTGGGATCTAAGTGGTCATATAATACCTGTAATAAATCTTTTGGTTACTGCTAAAATACTGAGGTCACTCTACTACATCGGTAACTAGACTTAAGTAAATTATCAGCGTCTAAAAAGTTTATCGCAAAGACATTGAAGATGACACAGGTACTCAGTGTTTGACAACGCTTTAATCAGTAACACCTTCTAATATGACTCGTACTCACCAAGAGAAATCAAAAGATAGGATCGAGGAGATTGGAAGATATATTTGATATGACATCACTATATCGGAATCCTCTGATCTAATCTGGCTAGCGATTGCAGTAAATGTTGAGCACGGCGTTCCCACACGTGATTTGGTGCGGATGCATGATCGAGCGCTAGGTGATTCCACTAAAACTAATCTGGTCAGCATCTAATGTCGAAAACTTACAGAGCTATTCATTTTGTGGATTTATTTAGCGCTACAACATTTTCTCAGGTTGCGCCAAGTTCGCGACTTACGTAACTGTCGCATATGTAACTGTTGGTGTCGGTTTAAAAATGTAGGATTCAGTATTATTTATCTATTTTACGCTACATGTACTCACATTACATATGTATCTATGTTGACAGTTGCACTTAACTTGCCATTGTTTCAAGGTTTTCTACTTTTATGAACATAAAGAGGTTTCATATAAGGATATAATAAAGTGAGAAAGAATTATTTCGTAGAAAGAGAGGTATAAGGTATTTTACTCTCACGATTTAAAGGAAGACAAAGAGTGTATACACCTACGCCACTGTGATCGATTCTGAGCCATGTCAACCAGTCTCCAACCATTGGTTACGATAATCACGCGGACCCCAACCAAGTAGTCTGTATCTACCAACATGGTTCAGACTAGGAGTTAGTGACTTCAAGCACTGATGCCACGTTTTGATTTAGCCGCCCCTAACTTCTAGCCGTCTCCAACACCAGTCAGCATTTCATGCCTTGTAAAATGAGGTAAACTAATACTGTCGCACAGTTAGCCTTCTTTATATTCGAGTTCTACTTACGACTTTTTTCTTTATTCTCAAATGTCGTGGTATGCAGTATCATCATAGAATCGCTTGAAGGTCATTCATAAATTATAGTTCATAAGTGTTAATAAAGACCTAATACAAAACATCTTACATTCGGTGGTTACTAAGTGCCTCGTCAGAAACATCAAAATATTTTTAAACTTTAAAGAAGTAGAAAATGATGAGTATTTCCAACACTTTTAAGTAAGATGCACTCGAAGTCTATGGTTTAATTTGATGTATAAACTACTTAATGTGATACTGTGTTATACAATCGACTATTGTATAGTATGACTAAATTCCAAGTAATTTGTGCCTCACACTGCTCTATAGCCTTTACACCGCAGATTTTACAGTAAAATAATCAAGTGATAAGTTTCCGTGTTGGATGTCATTTGAATAGTCACTTGACCTTATTATCCTACTTTATAGTTGTTCGTGCAACTAGTCATCGAATCCCAACTTGATAGATTTCAAGAGATAAAACCACAATTAAAGCATTTAACCGAGATTAATCTGTTGATACAAAACATCCAGTCAAGATATTTGGATTATCAGCTACCAAATGGTGGTAAAGAATTCATTGTTATTCACATTGAACTCCAGAAGTTTTAGCATAATCCAATTTTAAATTATTTAGACCAGTACATAATAAAATTCAAATCTAAGATGAGAGTCTGGTTCTATTCATAGCCCATCAGTTGAGTATGCATGGACCATAGCCTGGTTTTGTTCTCACAGTAACTAGAATTCGTTGCGATATTCCAATACCGGTATTGTTATCTGATTAGTTGACTATCCATAATTGCTTTCGATTTAAATTTGTTTGCTGCAAGTCTTTGAAGGCTAAACTGATGGGTTCTCGTTGCATAAATGTTCATATTGCTTTTAATGATGACTTGGTCGTATTTTATGTCAATTATGTTTGACATTCGATTCCCCCTGTTTTATGTGATTACCCATTTTATATTTTTTATTTTGCTGACTATATCGTCCGTTTTTGTTATGAAGTTTTAGCTTTACCTCAATCAATGAGTGAATATATTCGAAGTCCTCTGATAAGATTAATGTATGAAAAGTTGGATCATCAAAATAAACATTCGAACTCAAATCATGACCATGTAGTTATGTTCAATTATTTTCATAATATACTTTTTATGATATTTTCAATCTTATCAATGTAGTGGTATGATTATCGCGCTGAATATGTAGATTTTGAACTTCGGGATAAGTTTATTAAATCAAAACAAGATGAAGAAACTTGCGAATTTTTAAACAATTGCTATGTCAAATCTGACTGGTTATTTACACACTTTTACCATGCTATTGCTAAAGCTGTTTTAACTTGGTTCATGACTTCAACTTCTATAAATGGGTAATTGATTTTGGCCCTTCGCTCTTACCTATATTTTTTATTTTACATAAGAAATATGAAAAATTCACTTGTAAAGGTATTTTATGCAAATATGTAATCAGATTCTACAGTTAAAACTGACATTATAATGCTATCTTCATCATGAACTGACATCACGCAGTAAGCTATTACTAGCCGAAAATGGCACAGGTACCCATAACTTTATAGTTTGGGGCCTAATGTTGTGATTTCACTACCACATATACAAAGTAATTCGAATATTATTCGGAATTATCCAGTTGATATGTATAAAATCAATTATTACTAGTTAACTAAATTGAAGTTCAAACATATGAGTTGTGGCACGATGGTAATGGTCGTAATAATAATGATCGTCGTTCAAGAATCGTGCAGATTATTATTACTATAACCAGATGGTGAGTGAAAATACTAGGACCATAAAAAGACTGAATAAATAGTTTTTGTGCAGTTAAATTTTGTCTGTGAATCGAGTGATCAAAAAATTGCACGCCTAAAACTAATTTTAAGAGCTGAAATCCTATCAACTTGGTATTTTGTGTAGAATGTATTAGATAACACAGTTTTCTATAAGTTGACTGCTAAATTTCACTTACATATACCTGTATTAAATAATTCAAAATGTCATAACGCGACTACCAGAAATGCTTCAGTTTATCATTTCTACTCGTGACACCCTATGAGTAGTGATTGGTTTTAAAATCCTACATTTATTCCAGTATTATCGGCGTTTTATTATTCACATTTGAAAACCTCATCATCTTCAATTTAAAAGCTATGCTGTTTTTATTGATTGTGATATCCTTCAAGTATCGGACAGAAACAATGTAAATCTCTTTATTCTTATTCAAGTTCGGTACCTGTAGTCAATCAGTGTTCGAAACTATCTAAACAGTTGTAATATGCTTCGATATTAATTTGGATTTTCCTAGCATTCATTTATCTTTATTTTGTCCTTTTCATCAATAGCTTTAATAGCAGCTTTGTTTACAGTTATTGTGAAATCTCGAATCGCTAACTGCTTTGTGATGATTGGGTTTATCTATTATTAGGTTGAACCAGTTTAGAATATTAACATTTTGAATTCGTATGCTATCAGGATTAGTCAATGAAATGTTTTTTGGATAAAAAAAGTAATTATTGTATTGTGAGAAATATCTTTCTAATCAACATCGAATGATAAAATACTAGTATGGTTGTATTATATTTTTAGTGCTCCAAAGTACTAATGAAAGATAATTTCATTACTCGCCACATAATTTTGGAGGCATTCACCGGTATAACGCTTCGAGAATCGTATCTGTAATTATATTTACCATAAAACGACTTGTGTCAATTCGGAACATATATTTATCAATCAAAGAAGTAGGACTTCAGAATTCCAATTTTTGATTCATTGGGAGATTACAGTTTCTTCATTCCTTCATTATAGATAGTTGCTATCATTTTCAGTCTTAATACAAATTACGTTGTTCTGGCTAGTTTTCGAAATCCTGAGTATATTGAAAACATATTAATCAGTTTATTAGTCTTTATGATACTGGAGAGGCTTTTAATAATTTGGTCAGCGAATTTGCGATCGTTAGAATGAACAAAAAGGATTCTGGTCAACAAGTGATACACAAGGTTAAGATGTGGTTGTGATAGCCGCTCACTAGTCTGTTTTGATGCAAGCTTCCGAAAAATTGAGAATAAAAAACAAAACCACTACCCAGAAAAAATAAATTTTATGTAACAGAATGCAGTACTAGTAAAAAAATTATTACCGCGAAAAATAACATGGTAAAATCTTATAAGGGGCTGAAGAAAATCAGCTTGTAGGTTATCCACTTTTCAACCAATTAAGACTTGATTGTTGGACCTAATTCTTGTGCATCTTGTTAGTCTGTTTGTTTTCTCTTATTTTGCACCAAATATCTATCCGTAAGCCTGCACGTTTAAACCGTTTTTTAATTCTGTCCATTTTTGTATTTTTCAAGTTTAGTTGGTCGTGGTTCTATGTTTGTTTTCTCATCAGCACAATTTCTTCGCTTACTTGATGTTAACGATAGCTTCAAGTCGAATTCTTTACTCGACTTAGGTAGGTAGATAATTGATTGATATGTATATATAAAACTGACGGCTGGTTTGCATCATGCTGACAAGTCTACATTGTGTACCTGTATGTTGTAACGAAAATCCTAGCATAAGTACCTGTAAAGTATAAATTATCCGTATACTTACAAAGTGCATAAAATGGATCCATAGGAAAAAAAGATCATTTTAACAAAGGAGATAGTTGGACAGGAAATTTTAACATATGAAAACACCTCTAATACAATAATCCCATTAAGCCAGTTAGATGAAGATATGTCTTCACTATGGAATTGTAAAGTACTTTACAACCTTACTGCAAAAAGGCGATAATTTTAAAATTCTCTCTTGTTTTAAATTTATGTTCATGATATTGTCCAAAATTCTAACGAAAGTTTTGGCATCAAACTCTGCTTGAAGAACATAAACCGATTAAACAGATTCATTTGAGCTAAAAAAAATACTACAGTCATTAAATAAAGCAGTTAATTGAACCAAAGAATTAATTACATCCGTTTTAATTTAACATCAATCCCCCCACAGCTGGATAATATTGCTTGCCCTCATATATGCGATCTAGTTGAAAGCTACGTATATGAACTTGTAAATATTAAGTTAGCCACATAAAATTAATATAAAATCAAATATTTCTCCCATTGACTTAAAAGAATTCTATGTGATGATTGATTTTGTTTCCCAATAATTCCCAACGTTTAAGTTATTTGTGATCAGGATAGTTAAGATGATACTAGGTGAGTACTTTAAATGTCGATGTTTCTTACTCTGGGTAGTCAGTGTAAAATCGTAATAATTTTCCTAGCAAATGCCATAATAGAAAATATTGTAACTTATTTCGTTTCATGTGTTAATAAACGTTGTGGTAAAAGAAAACGAGTTGAAGTATTTTATCATAAATTATTTTTGCACATATGGGTAGTACACATCCACCTCAATATTAGTCTCTTAATTGTCAACGTCGGTAAGATCAGTTTCGCTCTATACTTGTGAAACCTGGCCTCTCCGAGTTGAGGATGTTAGACGACTCTGTGTTTGGTCATCGTTTTCTTTGAAGGATTGCTGACATCCAGTGGCAACACCCTGTTAGCAATGCAGAGATTCGGCTTCGTGTGTTCGGGCACAGTGACGACAATTCAATTAGTATCACTATCTTTAAACATCAACTTCGGTGGCTTGAACATGTTCTACGAATGTCGTCCCAGAGAATTCCACGTCGTGTATTGTTTGCCGACGCTGGAAATGGTTGGAAAAAACAGAGGTGGTCAGTGTATGACATGGTGTCGTAGTATGATAGAAAACTATACAGGACTGGCTTCTGCTGGTCTTTCACGACCCCTTGGTTGGGGTTCTAGAGATGGTGCAACACAATGGCTAGATAAATGAAAAATGACCACCTAAGGTATATGTTGACTAACTGATGATGTGATTTTCTTGTAGCACCTTCAAGCCCAATAGGGATTGCTTTAGCTTAAACTATTAAGTTGGCACCTGGTGTTCACCTATCGAACCTCAGTTGATTCACTATATTATGCGCCTATCATCTACTGTTATCGGTGAAAACCATCTCACTTCATAACATAGTTGCAATCTGCTGATCACGTCTTTGACAACTACTATTTATAATAATAATAATAATAATAATAATAATAATAATTATTATTATTATTATTATTATTATTATTATTATTATCCGTTACAGCAGTATTTCTTTACACGAATAAGACGAGATTTTCCTTATTTTGAATCATGAATTGACGTCAGCAGATAACCACAACCAGTTAAAGAATTTAACCCGATACCCTCAGTTATTTCGGTGAGTGGAACTATTAAGCTATTGAGTCGAAGACAACTATTTATTGATAAAAGAAACATAAAAAAAGTTTGTGGAATGGTTTACAAATTGTACTATCAATATTTCAATATTAAAAAACAACTCATGATTGTGTTAGACATTTTTTTTAAAATACAGGTGCCGGGGACGGCAATGTGACATTGAAAATGGCTCCTTACTTTAAAGATGTATTCGTCACAGAAATTTCTCCAGTTATGCGTTGGCGTTTAAGTAAACATGGCTTTACGTAAGTTGACTGATTATATTTTATCATTTTTAGGTAATGATTTCAACTGATCTTTTACTGAACGATTATGAAAATCTTTTGAACCAACAGTATTCCACTTAATTTTGGTTGTAACATGAACTTTATTCTAATCAAAATAAATTTGATACATTATGAAGATTTACTTCAATTTATTTAATCCCTTGTATTGCTTTGTTTTGTTAACAGAATATTAGACGTTGATTCTTGGGAATTAATGAGCAAAGAATTGAATACACCCAAAGTTCCATCTCACTTTGATGTTATTAGTTGTTTAAATTTGTTAGATCGTTGTACAGCTCCAATTACCTTATTGAAACGAATTAGTCAAGCTTTGAAACCTACGACGGGAATTTTAATTCTTGGAATAGTTTTACCATTGAAACAATATGTTGAAAGTGAGTTTATAATTTTGGTTGACATTAAATTCTTCTCTTAATTTCATAACAGATTAAGCTGACCTATTGTCCTACCTCATTATAATGAGTTATTTTCATCAACAATTTATTTTGACGCTAACACTTACGTTTAACTTTATAGCAATCAGTCTCTAGTACATTGATCTGGTCGACATTCAAAATAGAAGTGGCATGTATTTATTAGATAAAAACTGAAATCTTTAGGGTCCTTCAAACGATTCAGGTAAAAAAAACTATAGAATGTTTGAAATTTTCCAACCTTCGAATTATCTGACATTATTTCAAAACTCATGTACACAGATCCCAAATTTTAGAATTAATAAGTATTTTAGTGGAGTATGTCGAATTGTTCAGTAACATAAATAAGTTTATTGCAAATAGAACCCTGATGGTGGCTACTAGGGATTTCCAAATTTATGTCACTGGTGACTCGTAAAATATCGGTTTTGTTTAATCAGTTTAAAACTCAGTCAAGAAGCACGTTCGACTCTGTTTTACGGCTAAAACAGATAGATATAAGTATAAAACCTTACAAAATGAATTTAGTTTGTGGTATCACAATTTACAGTAGTGTGCTAAACAAAAACCAACGAGATGCAAAACTTTTGAAATAAAATTAAAATAGATAATATCTTAGTTTATTTTCGTGATCGGCCAACGGTATTTTCTAATTACAAATGTTCGGAATTTTCCTAATACTAATGGTATCTAATGCGAACTCGATAGACCGGCGTCTGACCTACAACACTTCGAAAATTATCATCAACTCCATGGAACGAAGAAAGGATACAGGTACTTATAAAAAGCTTGATTTTCAAGAAATTAAATTTGATATAGAACGGCTCCGTATGAATTATAACTAACCATGATCTTGAAACAGTAATATTAGCAAATTAAATGGAAAAATAGCCGATCAAATGTCAGCAAAGATCATTGCGGAATATCAATTAAAAAAATATTATCACGGTTATCCTTTCACATAAAGCCATCGTTTACTAATAAAAATAATATAACCTGAGACAATCCCAGTAAACTTGTAAATTATTTAATTTTTAAAAACGATACTATTGATTGCAATCAATTCAATCTGGTCTGTTTTAGACTGCATCATCTAGTCTATCTAGCGACAAGTATTTTCCATTATCCTGGAGATTTCATCCCAAAAATCCATGCATCTCTACGCATCTTAATCAGAATGATAGTAAACACATCAGCTTTTATAATGTCTTGGTTAAACTACACTTAAATTTCTAATACCTCATCCTTCTTCAATCAGTATTACACGTCTTGATGAACAAAAAGTTACCATACTTAATACTTGACCGGGGAAATTCAATCGGTGTAAGTTTATGACCACAATAACTGAACAATTGTTCTTGTCTAGAGAGATTGTGTTATTCAGAATTATTCCTACTACAAGGAGTCTTCTGTGATTTCCACTAATCTGCGGGAATCACTTTCATTTCTCATAGTCTGATTCGACTGAATTCGGAGTTGCTTATCATCGAATCCCGTCTCAGTAATCTCGTTTAGTCAGTCACATGCAACGTAGAACCTGGCACATGTGTACATCGGTTCAGGTTTACATTATCCCATTGATGAAGAGGGAAGAAACAGTCAGGGTATATCTCAGAGTAGTAGAGCTAGGAACAATAATAATGGTAATAGAAAAAAATTAAACATCAATGATACAGTTCGCAAAGGAAATATAAATTGGTGCAGCATTCACAAAGTTATGAGGAATTTAAAAACTTAGAATCTAAGTAAGGACAAAGAGTGAGTGCACCTAGGCCATTGGGAAAGATTTCAAACCATATCGTTCAAAATCCCTAACCATTGATTACGATAATCTAAAATTATTGTTTTCATCCCTAGACCTGAAAACCCTGGTTTTGATTCCGTTGATTTATTGATGGCTGTATGTAGAAAGGGATAGGGAGAGATGCATTCCAAACATGTTTGCATCGTTTCCCAGTGTGATTAGAGGACTTCATTTTGTTAGTTTTCGCCAAACCAAACAATGTCATCTGCTTATTTAAAGTCAACAAATTAATCCATTTTATTGAAATCATGAACCGATCAATGTTAGACCAACATTCAAAACCTGGAAGCGCTGGATGCTGACTCAGGGATTTGGAGGTTAGGCGTTTTCGTGTCAGACCAAAGGTCCTGGGTTCGAATCCTGCGTTCGGAAGGAGTTCCATACTAGAACGAAACGGTCATTCAATGGTAGTCTAACATTGGTTGGTTCATGATTTCAATAAAATTCAACAGTCTCCACAACCCCCAAACTGAAAATTAATCTATTGGTAGAAGATTGATCTGTGATAAGTTAAAAGAAAAGCATTATGTCTAAAAGAATGTTTACGATGAAGATAGATAGAATTGTGGAAATTGGCCAAGCCTAATATATTGTCACTTGAGGTTAACGGTTTCAAAGTCAGTTACCCATAATCTCTGAATTGACTAGAAGTATATTTGTTATAACTTGTTGTTTTGTACCCTTGGTTCTTTGTTTTTCACCCCGTCGCCAATTGTTATAACGCTCAGTTTTACTTCATCTAATGTTATAACGGTTGGTTTACTGCGTTTACACGTATGGGACGTAAATTTACCTTAGAAGAATATCTACACTAGATTCCCTCTCAGTGTATATTCTACGAGGCTTCAACAGAACTCAGATCAAGAATATATGATTAACCTGACCACAACGTAAATATATTTTCACTCAAAAAACCCGACACAGTCCAATAACAATAAACAATCAATAATAATACTTATAAGGATAGGGGGAATATATAACCCATCTGACACCTGTCAGACTATCGACATGTCTGACTAAGCAGACAACTAATCATTATCACTCTCACCCACACATCAATATTATACACAAAAATACTGATTTATCTTGTTCACTTATTGATGGTAAGGCTTATTTCCTCTCATTTAATCATTATTTTGTAAATAATCTTCAGTTTTTTTTAAAAAAAATACTTTTTTCCTCATTTATATTCAATGTTTTTTTTGTTTAAACAAAAAAATATGTAAAATCACTTTTTTAAAGCGGCTCATGATCAACGTCCTATTGAAGTACTTGAAATAATTGATAGTCAATTATGGGAAATACAATTATCTAGTTTAATTAATAATATTCTTATACCAGCTAATTATCATGTTTTACGTTGGACACGTTTACCATATTTATGTGAAGGTGATTTTTCTAAATCATTCTATTATTTAAATGAAATTATACTTGTTTTACAATATTCAATATCTAATAATTTAAATAAATAAAAGGGTTGATGGTTTCATAATCTTTTTATTATTATATTAAATTGAAAATTTTCTAGTTTGGTTGTGTATTACGTGTGGCTTATTTATTGATTAGTTGATTGATTGATTTTTCAACCGATTCTTTTATTGATACTTTTATCAATCTACTGATTATTTGTTAATTTTTATTGTTGATGAAAATTTCAAATGTACATGATTACCATTATTATTATTGGTGTTTTGCAAGTACTTCCATTATTTATTTTGAAATAAATACTTCTAATTTCAATACAATCAAGGAGTTTATTATCTTTTTAATTACTATTCGTTTCTTTTGAATTATTGGATAGTAACTACTGTTACTAATTATTATTACTATTGGATTATCTGATCACATGAATTATGAAGTAGCCTCTAAATGCCCTGGTGCAACTGAGAATGCGTATACAGCCACTGTCAGGGAAGTCTTACTCACTGCCTTCAACTGACAAGGGTGTTGTTCACCGTATTGAGAGAACGAAAACCGAATGTCCAACGCTTTAACCGAGTTGATGGATACAGAGAATCCATTTGGAGGATGTTGGAATACCCTGATTTCAAACCAATGGTGTATATGGGCTCCAGTATTCTGAAGGATCGAATGGCCTATGAACCTCTTGATGGTCACCGGTTACTATGAGACTGCATCTTGTGATGTTGCTCCACTGCCTTGTGGGTCGGACCTTTAGGTCGAAGGCTCCAGATGTGGCTCCCTAAGAAAACCACCCGCTTCGGTTTGGGCACCCGGGCAGTATCACAGCCCACACACAAATCAAGTGACTTGTGTGGCGCATATGTATTTGGTGCCTCCTTGTACCAATGTTTAGGTGTTTGAATAATTATGAAGTACAATGAATTTATATGCTATTAGTACTATCAAGAGTTAATTTTCAACCATATAATTGATGAAATGGTTGATTTAGACGTTTACCCGATAGTGATTGGTTTACTTAAAGTGATTATTTTAGGTTGTATTGAAGCTGTTGGGGTAGGATATTGTCAATGTCTAGTTTATAATTCGTGTTACCACTTCATTTGAATAATACTACTTGTTAGTTTATCAGATCAATGAACATCAGCTACTTGTCCGTTTTAACTATTATAATTTTGGGTTCCTTAAAAATATTTATAAGTAGTTATATCTTTGTTCTCTCATATTCTGCTGCTTAGTAAGAAACGAGATAATAGTCGTGTTTTTCAAAATAACTTGTTACTGAAACATGAAGTGATTTCACTACATAAGATACTAATTATTTGTGTTGATGACAAGGCACACTGTCGTGGTTGCTTATGGAATATACTTCCGTCTTACCAAGTTGGACTTCTCTCTCTAGTTAGCTGAGCTGGGACGCGTCGGAATATCTAGCTTACCAGTCATTGTGTCACTGAGTCTTCGTTCCGTTCTCAGATGAGGTGAACTCGTAATCTCTTCAAACCTAGCACACACAACCGATTGATATTATGCGTCGTTTGACAAAGGTATGTTTTTATTCGTAACAGAATTTTACTACAATCAATTGCTATTAAGTACAACATAATTATTTAACTGGCGCTACGGTTTCTGTATTGATACTTAATCTGTTCATGTATGCTAACAATACCCCTACCAATTATCGCTAATAGCTATGATTTCATTAATAATGGAATAGCATTCAATGAGAATAAGACAACGATACTTAATGTGTGCTACATCTAACGAATTGATCAAACCTCAGTAGATAAGCTTCACGCTGTTGTCTACTCAAATACGAAATTTCGTTGTAAGTAATGCACATTTTATTATTGATTAGGATAAATAACATAGAACTCATAAGTTCATATTACTATATCAGCTTCGTAAATTGACAGCATAGAGAAGAAGAATTAAAACAAGATAATGGCATTTAAAGTTATGTGAAGCTAATAGAAATTAAAATATTAAGAGATGAGTGGAACCGAGGAATAATGTGTCCTATTCGCTTAAAGTGTATATTCTTCATTATTACTAAAATTAGTCGTCATATTCTTCTATTATGAAGTAAATTGTACCCAAAAACCTTGTGGAGTACTAACCAGACAACCAGTGTGATAGAAAAGCTAGCAAAACAATGTGCTACAGATATGAAATTAGAGTAAAACAGTGTTCGTATGGGCTTATATTGTAGAATAGTGAAGAAGTTTTATGGCTTATTGTACAATATACAACTAATGAAATGTAATAATCAGACACGTGAAACTTTCCTCATTCATGCCGATTGTCCCATAACCAAAGATCTGCTGAACATTTTAGCGCCACAATGCAGTCTCGAATTTCTCACAAAATCTGAAATGAAGTTTACACTGCCTTGTTATGATTCATTTAATTATTATCCTATACATGATTTTATGTACTAGTGTCGTTGTATATTAATATGATTCATATCCACAAGTTTGACTTTGTATTTTTGAAATTCACTGAACGAGACTGCAATAACTAATTTTTGGACTCGTATACCCTGATATCCTCAATATCGCTTTATCTCCTAGCTTCGGCTACTCCCAAAAACAATCATAAAAAGAAGATTCATTGATAAAGTTTAGAAAAAATTGTTTCAAGCAAATAGCACATCAGAATACGTATGCAAAGTATTTGGAAATAGGGTGAACATTTAGCACACTGAAAGTCATCGACCATTGGGAAAATGGTTTTAATAGTGCAAAAACAGACATGGCATGAAGAAATTGAAGGTCAGATTTCAAATTGAAAAACCAGGAAATGAACACGTTTCTGAGTACTAAACATTTTGAAACGAGCTGATAGGCAAATCACCCTACAGTCTACTAATTATGTAAATGAATCCTAACCATATTCATCAAATTGGTTTCTTATTTAAGTCTCATTTGAACTATTGTTTTCTCTTTTGTTCATCGTGCTACTAACTATTATTAGGTAGTATGAGTAACCGCTTGCGAAATAGTGTCGCCACTCTGATTTCTGTTTTATTCAACTAGTTCAAAATTTACTGACTGTTTATATGCAACTCTTTGTTTGTTCACGATCCTAATCAAGTATTTATATTATTTGGTTGATACGTCTGGTCTCGAGATAGTCCAGATTACGATTTTGTTAACTGCTAATTAATACACTAGAGCAGGTTGTATATATATATATATATATATATATATTTGGTACAATATAGAATTCTCAGCGCAAATTTTTTCAAAAAATCTCTTTTCTCTCATTTTTATGTATATTGCCAGCAACCACAATGTCTCTGATTGTGGTCTTCCCTAACTTGTACAGCGAAAGGTCGTGAGCTTTTCACAAACGCACCTGAATAGGTTGTACAAAAATAATTGACGTAATGACCTATTTAAACAAACAAAAGACAGATAACTTGCTGAAATATCTAGATGGCAGGAACAGGTAACCCAGATATTTAAGCAGGCCACCGTTATGCAGCAAAACTACTTAAAGTGTTTTTTTGTTTAATTATATTTTTGATAACATAACTCATGTTTCCGTAACAACATTGCTTCTAAACAAACTTCTTTTTAAGTTTCAAAGTTTTAGAGCGTAAGTCAATCTCTATGTTAGTCTACTGACACACCAACGATAGTATTTATTTTGTGTTAGTAGTTTACTTATGAGCAATTCATTTACGACTAGCAAATCAGTAATTAGTTATTTCAATTCAAATATACATCGTAGCGAATCTTAATTACTTATCACTCAGTGAAAAATAATCAGAAAATCATCCTGATGGATTCGAAACACGATGAGGCAAACTAAATGTACACTGATAAGGGCGTACGCAAAATCATGAGCATTGATAAACAAGGAAAGCAAAAACGGTGGCATACAACAAAATGGTAGATAACTCTAGGCAGTTATTCAGACTCATCAAAGATACAGTTATTCAAAGTAAGCTGTTAGTAAGACTGTTTAGATGCGGAACGGAACTTTGATTGACATTATCATCAGAACTGGCAGATATACCAAGTAAATTTTGGGATCTGGAAAAAATCTTAACTGTTCAGCCTCGACTACTGATCATCTCTGTCTCTGAAGAAAGGAAAGAAACCCTCGTTATAAACACATTGTAGTAAGTTTGAGCAATACATCCATGTAGTCAAGTTTTTAAAGTATTGTATCTTCCATTCAGTGTTAACCATAATTTGATAATAGTTAAATTTTAAGAAGAGTAACATATGAAATTTGAATTAGGAAAACTTGAGAAAAACTATTGATTCCAGTAATATATTCTGTACTTACTAGGAATAGAGTCTAATAACACAGGTTACACTTTTTCTGTGCCTCGCCTAACTGCTTTTATTTGTATCTCGGTGTTGATATTCTGACTGCGATACTAAACCATTGCCTATCGTTTCAAATACCTGGATGTTATTCACTTGGTTTTTTAGTAACGAGTCACTAATTTATTTAATAAACATAACAATCTCAGCGAGAATATCAACAGTAAAATACTTGCACTGAAATTTAGCTGAGAAATTTCATAGGTTGAAATGTGAGCCCTGGATTCTGTTAATGATCATTATTAAAAATGATCGATTTGTCCTATTATTAACATGTATGTTTATGCAGGATTCCAAAGTGACTTATCATCTCTGTCCTAAATATCAGAAAATAAGAAGTACAAACCTTTATAGTCGATAGCCATTTCATGTTTATAAATAATTTGCACTGTAACTCATTGCCATAATTTATGTGTTTATTAGTGATGATACTACATGGCTATTCAATATTCAAACTCACCAATTTATTTTAGAGTTAAATAACTTCATTTATCTCCAAATTTATGTTGACATTGTGTTATGATTCATTTTTGAATCGAGTTATACCATGAATGTTACATTCTCAGGCTAAGAAGTTAAACAAGACATTTATACACATTCACCAGTGTAAAATTGAACTTAAGTTTTTCAAAAAATTCTTAATTCAAATTAGACATCACTAAACTATCGATCAATAGATTTTAATATTTATTATTGATTCAGTGTACTTTACATAGATTTGTTGTTCAGTCTAACCAACAAGATTTGATTGTATACATACACAACACAAATTCGCCAAAATCTTGAGAAGTATAAAAAGTGAGGGAAAATAATTAAGGTGACTATTTTAACGAATCGAATCACTTTGTGAGTTATTCAATCAATCATCTGAATATATAAGTGATATGATTGAATTGTAAGGATTATATGCGAACAAATATATCTAGAAGGAAAGAACTAGTCAAAAAGTGGTTATTTTTCAATGAGATCAAACATGCAAACGTTAAATAAATAAAGTATGCATAAAT